TTAATTACATATCTTCACATTTTTAATTATTCCTCATAATTCTTGTTAAGAGATGATGAGCCTAAACATGGTGGAGGCAAAGTTGCCTCCGGGTTTTAGGTTCCATCCGAGAGATGATGAGCTGATATGTGATTATTTGATGAAGATGGTGGCCGGCTGTGATCAGCCTCCTCTCTTGATTGTCGTTGACCTCAACAAATCTGAGCCTTGGGATATTCCTGGTAATTAAGTTTCCATTTTACATTCTGTTGTTATTTGTTACCACCAAAAGATGAATGATGATTAGCCATGGTAAATGATTGAAATGAAGTATAATACCGAATGATCGTTTTGCTTACTTAACATACATATGCTAGTTTTCTGTCAAGTATATCAACACTCTAAGAATCCAGTCGTATGTGTATATCATCTCCCTCTCTGTGTATATTCTTATCATATTACTCTCAACTTCTCTCACTCTTTGATCTACTTGATTGACCTTGTATTGTACTAGTTTTAAAATTTATACTAAAAATAATATAAAATTCAAAACTCAATGTGAACTATTTTTTTAGGACAGAGGTAATATATGAAAAGTTGTCCATTTTTCAGTCATCGATTTGAGATCTTAATTTAGCTTGCTAGTTTGTGGCATATACTCTTTATGTTAAAAAAGAAATGATTATTCTGTTTATTGTATTAATTTGTAAGATGATGAATAGAATAATTATTTTGAGATTGAAAGAAAATATATGGTCGTTCATACTTCATAATATCTATGTGTATAGTTAATATATATATCCCGAGTCAGTTTTGTTTGGCTTTATATAGTTTTGAGGTTCATTTTGTTAATGACCTTGAACAGGTTTGCATCATATTTTTGTGTGAAAAGAAAGCTACCACATTGGTGTCAATAAAATATCACATATGTGAATAAGCATTTTCTTCGTCTTTTTTTTTTCTTCCTTTTTCTTTTTCTATTTTTAAGTCTTTAAGTATAGTATATTGGTAGGTGCAACTAAAGTCTCTCAAACACTACTTGCTGTGTTTGACTATGATCAAATGTCTTGATTTCTATTTTCTTTTTTCACTTGATGCAAAACAAAAATAAAAATTAAACACTTAAGAAACCAGTAATTTAGAATCATCTTGGAATCTATAGTCACAAATTGCTCTTTGTCTTAATATTTCAAACTTGCAGTACTTTATTCGTAAGTAATCTTTCAATACAAGTTAGTTAATTCAATTTAGCAGTTTCTTAAAAAAAAAAAAAGTTTCGGAAATTATGATTTTGCAATGTTTTGTGGTGGATGGAAATGGAGAATTGCCAATCGATTTAGTTAGCTTTTTGAGGAAGTTGACAGTGTTATATTTTTATATTTTTATATATTCGTTACATGTGTCAAGCTATGTGTGAATATCTATCTCCGTTATAAATTTGTAAACCAAAATTTGGAAAGGAAAAAAAAAAAAGAAGAAAAGAAAAGAAAAAGATGGTGATAGGGATTGAGATAAGAATTAATAGAACTGGAGTCCAAAAAGTCATATATCTCTCTAAGCCAGCCAGCTAATTTTCTTAAATTGGGGGGTTCCTTGAATACAAAGTATGGGAGTATCGACCCACATCATCACAATTTTGGCCACTTATTTTTCCACAATTCAGGTGGGATGAACATTCATGATGAGATTGCGAGATGTGATTTCAATTCTTTCTCTCCACTTTGTCTTACATGTTCCTTTGTGGAATTTAAAGTTTCCCACGTCCCCATAATAAAAACATCACTCTCTTTTGTTAATCTTTCTTTTTTTGGCAAAAAAAAAAAAAAAAAAAAAGTTATGCATACTTTGCAATTTCTTTCATGTCTAAGTAATATATTTCAATAACGTGATTATATGTAGTTTTACTAGCATCTTACGTTCGTAAGTGTGTAGTTCTTGCAATAAGTTTTTTTTAGCTTACTGCATGAGATGTTTTATCTGCTTCTCGTATGAAGAAATATCAGCATATGCAACGATGATGTTCATCTTCAAAAGGGGGGCCAGACCAGTGGGATTGAGCTAAAGAGATAGACAGTTTGGCATTGTGTTCATAATAATTCGGGAGTGACTGACCAAATGGGCATCTATCATTTTCAGGGTTTTTTTCATGAATAGTATGTGTGTACAGTATAGCTGCCTATTTTAGTTTATTACTGGAATTTATAATCAAAAAATCAAAATAAATTGAAAAAAAAAAAAAGTTAGTCGTAGTGATGCCATTAATTAACCTCCTTTGCCCACTTAACTAAATGTGTCTTTTAGCTTCTGCCATTATTCTTTTCTTCCTACTGTTAACATCACTGCCCATCCTCTGATGTCAATTCCATCTTTCTTTTCACCTATCCCTTCTTTCTTTTCTTTTCTTCTTTTTTTCGTGTGTCTCGTGTGCGTGTGCCTTCGCGTCGAAGTGATTCAGATTTCAGTCTCGTTTTAATTATTAGATGGATAAATTATTTATCACTCGAGTTGTTATAATCAAATAAAATTAATTATTTTATTTGTTATAATCAAATCGAGCTGTTTAAGTTTAATCACTCCCCAAAGTCATACAAAGCAGTCTTTCTATATTCAGTCGAAAGAAATATCGGTTCAAAATACTTAGAAGTTCTAATGGGTAGTGAACGTTTTTATTTCCACAGTTTCTAATTTTTGTCTAAGAATTATGGTCAACTAGATATGAGGGTGGGTACCTAGAGGATAAGAACACCCTAGCTAGCTATGAAAACAAAAAAATGTAAATAAGAATTTTTTTTTTTTTTTTATCACTTGAAACTCATAGTACCGTGAGCTACTATAATAAGGTGGAATCATTGAAATATGACTTTTTATTTGTCTTTTCATAAGGGATGGGACTTTTTTTTTTCAGTTTTGTTTGTGACACTACAACAAAAATGAGTAGTTTAGACACTTTTTTGTGTCTCAATAAGTGGTGTAATAGAACACATGTGATTCACATTGCGTGTGACACTACTAAATAGTGTCTTTTATAATCAAGTCACAATAAGTCATAAAACATTTGAAAGTGTATTATTAGATTGTCACTTATCAAGACACTTTAAAGAGACCCATTAAGTAGGGTAATAGTTCACAAATAACCCCACATAGTACACTTATGATAGTGTTTCATAATATGCATACACTTTTCCATTTTTAATAAGACACTTTTTAACAAATGTCCTAATACACATATAATGAGACACATTTTAGAAAAAGTGTCCCACTATAAAGGTATTAATAGTCCATTTTTGTTGTAGTGTGATTTATCAATTGGAAAAACATAAGGATGACAACCATAGCTATATTTATGAATCTAGAAGAGTAGAAGGGAGGGTTCGAGTTGTATTTTGAAAGGATATGAATATAATCATAATTTGATTATAATATATGGTTGCAGTAACGGCATGTGTTGGAGGAAAGGAATATTATTTTTACAGTCAACGTGATCGGAAATATGCAACGGGATTGAGGACCAACAGGGCTACTTCATCTGGATACTGGAAAGCCACCGGAAAAGATAGACCGATTCTCCGGAAAGGAACCCTAGTCGGAATGAGGAAGACGTTGGTGTTTTACCAAGGGAGAGCTCCAAAGGGCAGGAAAACCGATTGGGTCATGCATGAATTCCGACTTGAAGGCCCCCTTGGCCCTCCCAAGCTCTCCTCTCTCAAGGTACTATATCTTATTCCTTCCACAAAACTTTAATTATGATATAATATTCTGCAATTTTATAAATCCAAAAGTATAAAAGTCTATATATATAGTTCATATCTATAGTAAACTCGGCGAAAGTCCTCCGGGGAATAATATGACGGTTTGGTTTGACATTATCACCATTTGTGTCAATTTGGATTAGTCAAAACCAAAATACTACATAATACTCTCTAGAAAGTTTTTTTTTTATTCTTTATAATTCAAGTTGTCAAAAAAAAAAAAAAAATTGAACGTAGGTTGCGGGTTGTTTTCAAAAGATAGAAAATCAACCCCAAAAGATCAAATGGCCAATAAACCAATTGAGATTATCAACTGATTTCTTTCTTAAATAAATCCTCGATAACGAATATACTTCTTAATTTGAAGCTCCTGATAAGTTGGCATAGAATCTTTATTGGCTCTAAGAAAAAGTAATTCTTCCAATAGCTTTCTAAGGATTCCTTATTTGGCCAGCATCATGTATTGAATCGCCATCTGTCTTGCTGATTACTTGTGACAGAGATGTTTTAATTTTTTAATAAAAGTGTAAACCTACTGACTCATGAGTGGCTCATCATCAACACACAATAGTTTAATTGGATTATGTTTTAATTTGCTAATGGTACTTGTTTATTGACTAATCGACCGTATTCAACTTTCAATGAGATCGATGCTTCGCCAAATCAAGCATAAAAATGGACAGTGATTTCCCAGCTACTAGCTTTCAAATTTTATATCCTAATGACGTATTGTATAGGGTCTTAGATTGTTAGAAAAGATGGGTGATATGACTTTTTATACCCTATTAAAAGAAAAAAGAAAAATTTGAAACTTATTGAGTTGAATATGTGGGAAAGGAAGTATGATTGTTATGTTTGTTATCTTTTACAATAATCATAATAATTATTTTAGAATAGAGGGGTAACATTCAGTGTAACTTGATTTGGTTGTGGGTTTTTCATTTTTCAATCTTTAAAGAGATAATAGGAAGAGATGAACCATTTACAAGATAACAGAATTTGCTCCAATAGTCAAAAGGTGATGAAATTGACTCTTTAATTTGTTTGGTTCCCCTTAATTAATCTCAATACTCCCATTTGTCCTTTTATTATCATCCTTTTCCTTTTAGTCACCTGTAAATTAACCTAATACAGTTACTTTTACAATTATTTATCACTAATACGAATTTTCCTTCATGTTTGTATATGATTATTTTGTATTGGACAAAACAGGAAGATTGGGTGCTATGTAGGGTTTTCTTCAAGAACCGAGATTTGGCAGCAAAGCAAGAAATGGAATATGAAGAAAACAGCTCTCCATCTTCATCTTTACCGCCACTAATGGAACCCTATTTCACATTTGACCAAACTCAAACCGAGCTTAAAGATTTGCAGCAGCAACAACAGCAAGTGTCCTGCTTCTCCAATATTTTCGCAACCGACCAACAACAACCACCACCATTCTCGTACCTCGCTAATATGGACTTAACCCCAAACTTATCAACCAAAATCAGCTTGCCAGTACTTCCCTTCAATGGAGGGCTGACCCAACCAGCAGAAAATCATGGTTTTGGATCATACATAAACCCTAGTACAAGTGGTACCACTACAGCTTCCTCTTCATCTTGTCATGAACAAAAGGTTCTGAAAGCTGTGCTGAATCAACTCACAAAGACGGAATATTGTGGGGGATCTCCAAGCTTTGGGGAAGCAAGTACTTCTGAGAGTTTATTGTCGGAAGTGGCACTCTCTACCATGTGGAATAACCAATATTAATTGATTTCATCACTTATGTGGAACTGATCATTTATCATCGTCATTTTGGAGTCGTCGAGGAAAAACTATATTATCAGACAAACAAATTAAATATAGTTCTGTATATAATTTGGTTTGGGGTGTACTAAGCAACGGCTTTTGTTTTTCATCTAGCACTAGAGGTTGTGGTTTTTTTTTTTTTTTTTTCTTGTTTCTTAACTTTTTTTTTCCCATTTATGTAGCTAGTTAGGTTGATTAAGTTAATTTTGGATTGTTTAATGTACGACTTTTACTGTGACATTAATTTTTGATCAGAATGTATTGGTTGAAAAAAGAAGTGGTAGGTGTTATCCTAGCATTCATGTTTCTACATGTACTAATAACAGGGACAACCTGGTTAGAATGTAATGTGAAAAAATAACAGCATATATATTATACAAAATGATCAAATTCAGATTATTTTTTTTTACATATTTCAAAAAAGATTAGAAAGGCTTCAACTAAATTAGTTAAAGTTATAACAAGGTTCTATTGCTGAAATTAACGCAACATATATGGAGAGTAGGTATTTCCTCCCGAAGCTGTTAATTTAACGTTTTAATTTGTATCTTTTTTATTGTAGCAAAAAAAAAAAAACCACCAGAAGTTCTAAAATGTTTCATTAAACCAAACCAAGTAGCAGTAAAAGTACGTCCATACTTTTGTATAGTTACTTTGCTTTGATGCATGTTGGTTGTATTAAACTAATTAAGAAAAAGAAACAAAGAATCAAACTGGAGGGGGAAAATAAACACACACACACACACAAACGAATCTTGAGATTAATTAACGAAGGTATACGTGATGTAACACCTAACCCCTATACCCTTTTTTGGACTAGGAACCGATGTTGATCTTCAACTCATCTAAATAAAAATTTGCCATGATCTCACAAAGACTTCTTTTTTAAAAAAAATTATTTTTAGGTTAATTGTCACAAAGATATGAAACAGAATAAATATATGGATTATGTGTTTCATAACGTAATGCCACTCGTAAGAAAACAAATTCAGAAAGATATGGTCTAAAAAATCATAACATTTTTTTATGACTATATATCACTTTCAAGTCGGATTATTTTTTAATTCCCATGAACAGGAACCAGTCTCGTCAAGAAAAATAAAGCAATAACCTTTGAAAATTTTGAGAGCATCATAAATTCGTGGAGATTTTTAATTTTGTTTAATTAGTTAAGTTGTGTTTGGAGAATTAAAAACCTCCAAAAACGGGTTGATGTTTGACTTAATTCCCACATGGGACGTGCCTTATCACCAGAGTGAAGAAGAAGATGAAGCCGAAAGAAGAAAGAAAATTGATGTTAATTAGTAATTTTTATCTGGCAATTTTATATGTCTTTGAATGCAATTCTTTGTAATTAAGAAAATCTCCGTAGAAAAGAAAAACAAAACAAACCCCATTTTAGAAGCATTATTTTTTTCTAAGTAAAATGTAAATTTATATTACGAATGGTTAGGGAACGTACGGTTGACAAAATGGAAATGGATTAGACCATGTAACAGTTATCAATGTACTATTCTTAGCATCGGGATTGGACGGTGGAGCTTGATCATGTGTTTTGTGAAGCTAATTTCGCAGCTGATTGCTTAGCCTCCCTAGCTACCCTTGGTCCAGTTAGATTACAGAAGTTTGATGTACCGCCGTCAAGCGTTAGGCCATGACTACAACATGATATAATAGGGGTCTCATACCCCTGAAATGTAAGACTCTAGGCCCTCGACCTCCTCCATTGTAACAAAAAAAAAATGTACTATTCTTAGCAAAGACTCATGAGTAACAGTATTTGTCGATTTACGACTTAAAAAATACACACACACTTAAACAAGCTAAACGTGAAAAAAAAAAAAAAAAACGTATATCCTCCGAAACTCACTGAAAACCCTTCGACGGATATATTTTCTTTGTAACGCAAGAAATCAATAAGCTCCTCCAATTTCATCAGAATCACTCAACCACGTACAGCCTCTTTGGGAGCAAATATCTCTGCAATAAAAAGATCTTTGATGCCATGTACACATCAAGCATTTGCACGTAGAAAAGTACTTATTTTATAAGCAAAATATTCTTTATAAAAACAAAACAAATAAAAAACAAGTGGTTTAATCCACCGGGTTCTATCAATTTTTTTCCCCCTTTGAAGCCACCCTATCCCCTATTTATTAATGAATAATTCTAATAATTGTTGTCTGTTGAGTTGTTATTTATTTATTTACAAAATAGACTACTCCCTCCGCCCTCAACAAATAAATTTCTTTTTTTGTAATAAAAAGAGTAAAACTCTAAATCGATATATTGTCATTCTCTCCAGCCCGCTATAGTGGAATTATTAGTGATATCGGACGAGGGATATATAAGGTAAACGGTTTGTGAAATAATTATGAAAATTGTAATAGAAGGTAAAATCTCAAAATTATTTATTAGTACAGACAAACTAATTAATGTGTATGCGTATAGTTTAGAACTATTTCCACAAGGTTGTCAGTGACTAATCTGTCTAATAATTAACTCACAAATGGACAATTAAAAGTTCAACCATACAAAACTACAGAAGGGACCATTTAATTTGGTGGGGGGGTTTATATAGATTATTACAATTGGAAACTCAATAGTCAAATAATGTGCGTTAAGGGAATTAATGATGTACATCATCCTTTGTACATTAATCATGTGGTGACAAAGATATAAGTCATAGAATTAGGTTAAAACTTGGTGCCAAAAAGTCTACTCAGAATATGCAGTTAGGCTTTCAACTAGTCATTTCAGTAAATCCCATGAAAGCAACTCATTACCAAACTCTGCCTAATATTATCTGACTCCATTAATTAATGTAAGTAAATACTCCAAAGGTTTTTATTATTTTGTATTGTTTACTCAGTTAAAAGCCACACGTACGCGCGCCTGAATATTTTAGTAACATTACCAGGTTTGACACATCAAATTAACAACCTTTAATTTAGAATTTCATATTTAGTGATCTCTCCGTCCCATAATTATTGTCCAATTTTACTAAAATGAAAGATTTTATTTTTGGTCAAATTTAACTATATTTTACCTTAAACAACCGGATACACCCCTACATAAGTAATTGTTTAACCACTAAGATTTTATGGATAATGTTTTTTACTAAGAACAAACGTGTAACTTGATCCATAAAAAGCCAAATTGGACAATAATTTTGAGACAAATTTTTTGGGCAAAGTGGACAATAATTATGGGACGGAGGAAGTATAAACTATGCTAAATATTAAAATATATATTAGACAATTATATTAAAACAGAAAAAATATTGAATTTTTTCGCTATTGACTTACACTCCCAATCTCAATGTTAGCTTCGTGTATATGATCGTAACGCATGTATTTGATACTAACATTTGGTATTCTTTGATCTTTTTATTGAGTTAAATTTAATTCAGTTCAATTAAGTTGCATTTTCATATCACGGTTATATATATATATATATATATATTTATTGTGAAAGCAAAAAATACTTAATTACATAAGTTATTGCAGTCTTGAAATGATGCTTAATCTATTTTTTTTAATACTACCCCACGTCTGAGTTTTGAGAATAGTACAAATTTTGAAAATATATGGACTATTTGGGAACAGAATAAGTATATGTATAAAGGGGAAGTCCATGTTTAGAGTACAAAACATCTTTACCCTTCAGAATCAAGATGAGGATGGAATATCGCAAATGTTAAATGGAGGCGTTAATAAAATGTATCTAGCTAAAGGAATAGAAAAGTCAAATTTTGTGAATATAATTAAAAATCTCAACCGTATCATAGTTTCATTTTTAAAAAAGCATAGCGTGTTGGTGCTCAAATGAACTCGAATGGACTACAGACTCAATTACTCAAATGGACTTGTAGCTCCACAAAAGTTATGGCTCTCGCATATATTAGTCATAACTTATGGGATAATAACTTTTGGGTGCCGGTACTAACTAAAACGACATTACGTTCGAATGGAGAATTTGTTAAAAATTTTAGTTTGTAAAATAAAATAATTAATTTAGAATTTAAGGATAATAATTAAGTTGACAATCCTTCACTTGCATGGTGGTTATTTCCTACAAACCAAAGATTGTGTACTTAATTTGTATCTTTTGTTTCTGCAAGTGTTGCCTATAAATAGATGAACTAGTGCGGGATTTTATACTAACTTTTGCATTCTTAAATTCTTGAGAATATTCAATAATTGCAAGTTGCATGTTCTTGTGTTCTTTATGTCCTAGAGGCAAATTGCCAAACAAACCCGATATTACAACATAGAGGGGGCAAATATTGTCTTAAAGACAGTGTCTAACACGATTAGAACAGATCCAAATCTTGTGATTCTCATTATTGTTAGATTCAAGTTTCTAACAATAATGTTTATAAATCTTTCATGTTTATTCTTTAGTGTTTTTTGTGTTGTCTCTTTGATTACCACCCCGTATACTTTCAGAATTCATGTTTAATGGTAGAGTTCCAAGTAGCATAAATTTGTTTGTTAAAACGGATGCAAAGTGACCTTGGCTTGTTCGAATTTTTGAAAACCAAAAAAATATATATATCGTGTTTACTGTTTAGTTTCAATGTACAGCATTTGATCATTTGGACCCTATGCTATCCATGAAATCCCCGGTGAAAACTCAATAGTCCCTAATGATGGTTATTGGAATCAACCTATTCCTTCTCAATTCTGTAAGCCCAAGGAAAGGATCACCCTACGATTGAGTTCCCTTAACCATGGGGACTAGCAGCCCAAGGCCACTACATTTGCGAAAACTCTAGATCCGGCGATCGATACGTCACACTATTTTTCACCAATTAATGTTTGTGTCTATCCCTCAAGCAAAAGGAATGTTACAGGAATTAATGCAAAAACCGTAACAGTTTGCACAAAGCAATATCTTTTCTCCAAAATTTCAAAACTTGAAATGCAAGTTCGTCTGTGTCTCTTTTCAGCGAATATCTACTTACCATACCAAAAAAATGTTAAATGCCCCGTCAATCATGGTTTCATTTCCTTAGATAAATTTCCGGTGGACTCCACCGCTCGCTTATAAATACACCAAAACCTGTGTAAACCCTATGAACCTCCATACCCGATAAAACTAAATTAACTGTTGATATAGTACGGGGAATTAAGCGGACAAGGGAAAATGTTCGGAAGAAATTTGCCGTTGATAACCATCACCCTCAAGGTGGACATGAGTTTGTATCCTCCTTCTTCACCGCATAACCGGCGGTTGGTGGCGGCGACGGTGAGAAAGGTGCTCAACAAAGCCCACGGCATCCGGCGTTTCGTGATGTTGGATGATTCTGCTTATGGATTTGGCGTCAGCGGCGGCGGCGGCGCTTATGTGGATGTGGAGGTTTTCGGGAACGTGGATCCGAATAGGCTTGTCAATAAACTTGCACGCGAAGGTATTCATGCCTGGTTTCATTCCGGCAGTCCGAAAGGTCGGTTTGTTAACTACTCGGACTACTACTACGATAATTTCCATGAACCGTATCCGTATCCTTGTGGACATGGACCCGGGTATGGATATGGTCGCTTGTATGGAGGGGTTTTCGGATCTGGTGGATGGCCCGGTTATGATGATGGCTATTGTCATTGTTACGGCGACGTTGGAGGTTATAATAATTATTATTAACCACGGCGGCTGTTCCCCGTCCTCCTCTTTTCCCTCGGCAAAGTTTTCATGATGTCCGGCGGTGTGGTGGCGGTTGCTGTTTCAATTCCACGTGAAAGCGTTACGCGCTTTTTACTGGTCAAGATCTGGGGAGTTTTTTTTTTCCCGAATCGGATCTTTGAGGAGACCCTGATATTTTTAAGGATCTCAATCATCATCAAGTTTTACTGGGGTTTTTTTTTTAATTAGGTTTTAATTGTTAGTGGTGCATCATTTCCTTTCTCCTGTAAAACGTCAATGCACGGTACTACCGTGCACTCCGGCTGGTTTTTCATGCTGGAGTAGTAGTGAATAAACGAACGTGATTTTCATTGGATTTGCTATTATATCTAGTTAGTTGTTGATGAATTTTAGTCCCTTCTGTTGTATATTTGGGATGTTTTCTCAATCGAATTATTTTGGTCTGTATTGTCATAGTATTTTGTAAGCAACAATGGTAAACATCACGACTTTTGGTTCACATAATAACACGGGTTAATGCATCGTTTAGGGCTAATTTTCTCATTGTCAAAATGAATGGATAAGTAGATAACGTTGTCGCTACAAAGATTTCAGTCAGTCAACCTTTACAGCAACCGCAAACTTCCTAAACTTTAAAAGGCGAAAAATTGTTCAGTACATTTCCACATTAAAGAAACTGCTCTTTTGAAGTTCAAAATGATGTACCTATCACTACCGCAAGATCGATGACGAAATGTAGGAAAGTAAACAACTTTAAGGTTCGGAACTCAGGTGTAGGTATCCGGTACAAATGATAAATTGAAATGCCAAGTTTGACTCCCACACAGAGAGGTATACAGCTTTCAAATCTTCTTAGCAATTAAAGCCACATTCCTTGGAGATAATACTGGGTCAAATATCGGTAGCATGGCAGCTTCCACAACACTACCTTGCTCCTGGAGGAATAATAGCCTGTCAAGTAAAATGAGAGTTTCCAAAACAGGTCCCAAAGCGGCGCGAAGAGTCCAGTAAGGCCCTATCCATCCCTGCACATAGAGCCAAAGTTCAACAGAAAATCTTATACTACAGCAAGATTAAAGTCTCGGTCATGGCTATGTTATCAGGATGCTAAATGGCGTTCACAAATTGAAGTTCTCATACATGCCTATATGGTCAAAACAGCTTTCCAAATGATCCATGCAATGTGTACGAGAAATCAAGACAGAGCCCATGAGATCAGAGTATACAACTTCAAATGTGTGCCATAGAATTACTGAGGGCTTAAAATAAATGAATTCTGCAGTCTACACAGTGAAGTAAAAATTCAACGTTCAACTAAGTGTAAGCAACTCTTGCATACAACGAACAATATTTAACTTACAGTGAATGGTTCAGTTTCTGCCCATAACTCATGAAAATCGATATCCTGCAACTGATCTAGACCAAGCCGCTTAAATCCCGAGCAGCAGAATTTCACAAATAGTGAGAATCTATCCACAGAACCACCCTTTTCAACCGAGCAGTCCCGAAAAGAAGATTCAGCGAAATAGGCATCCGTACCTGAGGATGAACCTACAAAACCAGATCATAAGGTATCAAGTAAAACAGAAAGCATTTATTACAAAAATGTTCATCACTTTTTATTACTCAAGGAAACCTGATCTGGCAAAATCTGAAGGACTGGACTAAAAAGAAAAATGATACAGCTTTCTTTACCCAGACTGGACTCCAGTATCTTCTGATTTTGTTGGCGGCGCAAAGCTTTTCCCTGACGGCCAATGGAGGGACTTTTTGTCAACGATTCAGGATTATGCCGAGCAAGAACCTTAATAGAGATATACAGGTAGTATAAATTAGGGACTGATGATAGGATCTACAAGAAATCACTTAGAACGGGTGTTGGTGTCAAAAAAAAAACTTAAAATGGCTGTAACAAATGGACTTAACAGTTAGATCATCAGAATTTTTATAACAAAAAATAAAACTTCATCAAATGCGTTTACCATTTGGAAAGCCGCACGAAAAGCGTGCAGTTCAAAATTGTGAAGGCCAGCATCCTCCCCCAGACTCCCCCACCTCTCAGCACTCTGATAGAGAAAACATAACCACAAGTGTCATACACAATGAAGCTTTTGGAATGCAATTTCAAAAAGCTCCCACAGGGTCATATGTATATGTACCTGACAGGCAAGATCACGGGCATTTCTCCCTAACTCTAAGCCAGTAGTTTTAACGCCATCACTCATTGGGAAACCACATAGAGAAGATATTACATCATTGCTGCCCTCGGACAATAGATTATAACAACATCCAATGCTAACGACTGATCTAACCTTGTCACACTCTAAGAATGTCCTGATTAGATAAGTGCATTGTGTCAGAAAGGGGAAAACACCATTTACAAACATAAGTATCCTGGACAACTTCTATCAGCAATGTTTTGACCAATTTTAAGAGAAAAAAATAACAAAATAAAGCAAAATGTATCTAGATCTAATCTCAAAAGCTTTCCGAATGGTAAAGAAGAGGGGGGGGGTAGGGGGGGGGGGTTGGGGAGGGATGGGGGTGGAGGAGTGGAGTAGAACCTGACCTTAGCATTGTTACTGAAAGATCACCACAGGCATGAAGTCCAGCAAGAACCAACGAAGAATTGCAACTTGCATCAGACTCATCAGGTCCTTTGGTGCAATGTACCTCGTCTCCATTTATGTTTATGTTGGGTGGCTGAATATTGTCTTTTTCACTTAAAGAATTATTCAAAGTTTTCAGTGAGTTAGAAGAAAGGACACGACATGTAACTGTTTGGGGTACACACAATTCCCTGTCTTTTGATCTGCAAAAATATCATGAATAAATGAAAAAGGATCAATCTTCAGGCAGTTGACAGTTTTAGGTACAACAACAAAGGGAAACACAAGACAGGTTAAGCAAGGGCACAAACAGCAAAAATCACAGTTACGTACCCTGATTTGCGCATCTTAGCAGCATAATGTTTTCTGATCCGCTCAGCCCGTGCATCAGTAATTTTACCATGATGCAAACAAGCATCGATTGCAAATACAGAAAGCTCGTACTGGAAGGAAAGCACTTGTGCAAGATAACCCTTTAAGGAATCAACAAGCACAGATATCAGGGAAGTCGTAAACCACGAAACCATGAACTTCTAAAGAATTCTGATCCTATCAGGTCTATTGTTTCCATCTTTGTCTCTATGGAACCCTAATTTGATTAGATAACCAATAAAAAGAATTTGTAACGGCCAGAACCTGCCCTGCGCCAACATCCACTACAGTGTTGGATCCAACTTGCTTCGAGATGAAACTGACTATAGCAGCAAGAGATTCAATCTGCTTGCAATTTCAAAAAGAAATATAAGCCGCACTCAGAGAACTTGGAAAACAAAGCAAAAGAACATTACTAAAAATTCACATGGAAATATTGAAACAACTTCTAAAGAACATACTTTGAAGATATAACAACAGTAGGTAGAAAAAGCAAAACCAAGTTCCAAAATTGTAAGAGTAATTGGAAAAATTAAATCCATAGCCTACTTCATGCTTTTTCTTACGATTCATGCCTTGCGCCAGAACACTGTTCAACGAAGTCACACGAAGACCTGGAAATTCCTGCAATTAAGCAAACATAGCACAGGTTTTCAATATTTCTTTTTCCAGCATGCAGAGCTAAGAAGCCACAGTTCGTAGAACTAAAATTAGACCACAAAAAGATTCAGTGCACGAGAGAGGGAAAGAATAAGAGGATGATTTATGTATGATCTTGAGTAAGCTGGAAATAAGAAAGCAGGGAAATACCTCCTGCAAATTGGCTTGTCCGCGGGGAAAAGAAAGGGTCTTTAAAGTGAGCACAAATTCTTTCAATGAAGCTGGCCAGTGATCCTAAAAACCTAAACAATCATTAGTCTCTGCTCAGAATTAGCATCACCAGATACGAAAATAACTTAATTACATTTCAAAACTGTATGAGCCATAAATTTCACCTGAAAAACGCCGGAAGGAATGCGGAGGAGATTTTCGACTGGTTCGTTGCGGAGGCAATCCATCCAGTCATTGTCGACGGCTTCCCAGAGTTTATCTATGAAGAAATTGACAACGTGAGCATCGACTAAGAATCTGTATGGCGTAATGAAGTCAATGATCGCGTGAATCCATTCTAAGGTTTCGCTCGCTGTCTTGCACGAGAACTTCCTGCTTCTTCCGCTCATTTTTCGGCACTCTGCCGCCAGCCGCCGCCGTCACTTCTTTAGCTCGCGGTCGTCGTCGATTGGGCTTCACTGGACTTAGCCCAATCAAATTCATTTATGGGCTTAGTTAATGTAATCTGAGGGTGAGTCTTTCAGTCTTTATTAATTTTGCACCTGTGAAGACACAAAATTAATAGGGCTTGTTTGTCCAACTCTCATTCTGCCTTTTTGTCTCATTTTTTATTCTTAAACACAAAACTAATCTATCTATTATATTATTGCCGAAACTAGTGAGAAATTCAATGCTGATGTGTCACTTCTATTATATTATTGCCGAAACTAGTGAGAAATTCAATGCTGATGTGTCACTATGAGATTTATTGTTTTCCCTTCCAAACAAGAGCCCATTGAAAATTATTACTACTTTCGTCTAAAAAAAATAATCCACATTTAATTTTTAAATTTACACTAAAAATAGTACAAAATTCAATATGGATTTTTTTTTTAAGACGGAGGGAGTAGTATATATCACTTCCGTCTCCAAATCCCTTAATTTCAGGGAAAAGAACCAGACTCACTTCACATTGGTTAAGACATGATTGAAAAATGAAAATTGTCCCTTCATTTAATCAAACTGAATCCTCCTTCCTCTAATGACCTCCCATAAATAAGCAAATCAAACTTCCCAAATTAACTTCTTATTCAAATCTGATCTATACATATCTCCAAAGATTCAAACAATTGCTATGCCTGGTATTCGTGCTCTCGCGAAAGTTATCTCCGATTACTAATTTTATATTGTTGTGCTGTTCATAGCGGGAACACACAGAAGAAATGAAGTCAATTTCTTTGAAAGCACTCTGGAACAAATGTGGTGGAGTTTGCTAAGTAGGATAACCTTTAAGGAAGCATATACAAATTACAAAAAAAAATAAAAAATAATAATAATAACTGAAGGATCGATGGAGATCTTTTTTTTGGCTATTATTTTCTTTCTGGATTTTCGAATCTTTGAAGCAAGTGGAAGAAATCAAACTGAATATTAGATCGAGATACTTAGTGGTGTCTTTTGTTTTCATCTTCTTTTTTGGCTTTTCATATCCATTTTCATTAATATATACTCCCTTTCTCCTATAATTATTGTCTAGTTTGAATTTTCATTTCTCGTTCAAAATGTACTTAAATCTCAAACTGGATAATAATTTTAGGACAGAGGGAATACTTATTCTATTCCAAATTATTATCCAGTTTGAATTTTCAGTTTTGTTTAAATTCTACTAAAAATAAAAATCAAAATCGGACAATAATTATGAGACGAAGGAAGTATAATATACTATTAAACCCTAATCTAGAAATTATTGTCCTCAGTAGTGAAAACTCCGCAAAACAGAAATGAAACTGAGGTATGGGCCAGTTGGGTGCAAGCATGCGTACAGGAGGTGAGAGTCTTTTTTTCCAATCAACCTGTGAAATGGAAAAAATTACGATTTGACACGATGCTAAGCTTGATTATCATATATGAGTGTAATCAAAGGAATGAATTTGGTTAGATAGATTATTCTCTTGATCCATTGGTATGGCCTCTTCTGACGTGGTCAAATGGAATATTTTGGATTCTATTTGCACCTTAATTATGTCAAATTAATTCAGTCACACTGTTTTATTTGAAACATACTACAAGATCATGACATCTGCTTTATATTGCAAAGGTGTATAATTGCTGCCATTACTGTTAAAATTTTGGTTTTGCTTCACCGTGGATTGTGGCAAAGAAGAGGATTATTAAAATAAGCTTTATTTAACCATTTTTTTCAAACATAACTCTGCCAAAATACTTCTCAAACATTTAAAAGAGGTCCAAAAGCGGCACTTTACACGTATTATCAATTGCAAAACAATTTTTATAATCATTGATCTTATAATTTGTAAAAAATCTATGTTAATATTAATGTCCCGTGCAACGCACGGGTTTTGAAACTAGTTCAAAATAAAACACTATCCAAGTAATATTATAACTTACCTTTTAAAAATTATTTCAAACATTATTTTTACACAATTTTAATCCACCACCGGACCATCTTCACTGTCGGCCGGATTCAAGCCAAATTCCGACCAACTCGCCAGAATTTGGCCGGATCCGTCCGGACGGTCGCTGGCTAGTGGTGATCTAGCGTCGGAAGAAGGCGATCCGGTGACGGCAGTAGGGGTGGAGGTGGTCCGATGGTAGTATTATTTTAATTAAAATATTATCCAAATAATTTTTAAAATTTTCTCTTAAAATACATTTTAAATCACATCTCAAATTAAAAACAAAAATTAAAACAAACCATCATCCATACAAGCCCATAACTACGTCTTTAATATAAGTCATTTTGATTTGTGCCAAGTTTTATATAATACACATTTTTAATTGACAAAAAATCTAAAAAAGTGTATTTTCACATTCATTGTGTTCTCTTGATTGTTATGAAATATTTTTTTTAAAAAAAATTTGTCAATTAAAAATACGTACTGAGTAAAATTTATGACAAATTAAAATATCTTGTATTAAGTACCGAAGGGAATATAGCATGGATGATTTTCTCGTAAGGAACTAGAAGGACATTGAAATAAACCATTGGATGTAAAACATATTTTCCGTTTGAGAAAAATGATTATTAGGCTGATTTGTATATAATGATCATTCACTTCATTTATGATAATATAAATTTACCTCAACGACAGCGAACAAATGGTGGCTGTAGTTTAGTGGTGAGAATTCCACGTTGTGGCCGTGGAGACCTGGGCTCGAATCCCAGCAGCCACATATTTTGGTTTTATCATTTTTCTTTTTGTTTTGATTAGGTACTTTGGGCTTGGGAAAGAATATATTTTGGGCTCGAAAGGAAACTCCAGTAATCTCATTGAAGAGTACAAACCGTCGCGAATGAAGTGGTAGTACAACACATAATTGTGTCCGTGAAGTAGAGCAAGAGAATTTTCATGCTCCTCATTCTCGTAAACAGTTGATCAATTATTGAAAGGGAACGCAGAAAAGAAACGAAAAAGAAGTAAACATGAAACAAATACTTATGAATTATGATAGGTGTCGGGGATGGACATATATAAATCGTAGTACACTATACTACAGTGGGTGTGGTTGGTTTTTATATTTTTTCTTCCTCTTCGTTGTCAAGGAATGAGATACGAGAATAAAACTCATGACGGGGGCCCTCTCATCATGTAAGAAGATCTAATTTCTAAATAAGTTTGAAGAGAATGAAAGATTCTAACACTAGCACCTGCCAATGATGAACAAAATCTTCGGTGTGGTACAATGATACTGTGTCCGTTTCATAAAAATTATCCATATAATAATAAATTATACTCCTTCTGTTTCAAAATTATTATCAAGTTTGAGATTTCACTTTTAATACAATTTGAACTAGAAATGAAAACCCAAACAGGACAATAATTATGAGACAAAGGGAGTAAGTGATAAGTAAAAAATTAATGAAGCTTTATGGAGTTTTTCACTTTTTTTAAAAAAAAAAGAAAGATGAAATTATCACTCTCAAGTTACAGTTTACTAGCAATTTGATTGAGATACTGTTTCTGTTTAACATATTTAATTCAACAAATTCGATAAGTGTCTTGATGTTGGGCGGGAAAGAGAAAATGCCAAAGGGAGGGAACTTCAATGAAGGCGGGGAATGAAGATGAATTTTTTAAAACTTTACATTTTGGAAGAGCTGTATAAAAATCGGATCATATCAAAATTAGTGCTACCACCAAACTGATGAATAACAACATCAAAATGTCAGTAAATAATTCTATTGCCCATGTGCTTGTTCTGTTACCCAGGCCCCAAATTTTATTGTGTTTTTTTTTTTTTTTTTAGCTTTTTAATGGCATTTTTTATTATTCAATTAGGAAATGGCACAAACTTTTTGGGGATGGAAATGGAAAATGAAAAATAATGAGAGGATTTTGCAGCCCATGAATGCTGGGGTGGGCTTCAAACTTCCATTTCCACTACTGCTTTTGAAGCTTTGCGTATAGTGGACCTCTCTCAGACAAGATAACCAGATACACTGCCAAACCCTGCACAACCACAAGAAAGCTCTACCATCAACATTTACTCTCCTTTTTTCTTTTTTCTTTTTTTGTTCATAGGGGGGAAAATAAAATCAACAACATGGAGGTCTCTTCATAAAGTACAAAGAATTTCATTGAAATTTGAATCTTTTCCAATTATGGATTCATGCGGTATACTCATTGTGTAACCTCGTAGTCACTATCCAATTAAAAGTCCTAGAGGGACTATTTATCACCGTCATTTTTATGACAAACTTTATAAATCATAGTCCCATTTTCAAGCCTAATAGGTTAGAAATTGAATGTAATTCAATACTCTATTTGCAATCAATTCTCGCAAGATTAAGGGAGATGAAAGTGTAGTTTAAGGGAAATGAATGTACTCTCTCTGTTCATATTACAAGTTTAAAAACTTAACATAAACTATATAGTATTTTTTTAACAAAAAAAATAATACACAAAACAAAAATGTCGGACTTATGAGAATCTAACCAATTCAGCTAGATGGCTGGTTTAACTAAAGACGTCAATAATTTAAAAGTTAAAATATAATAACCTAAACTAAAATTGTTTTCGAGTATAATTGCGATCTAATAACCTAAACTATAAATCCCTAATTGAATCATTCATTTAACCTAACGTCAATCTTTTTCTTTGGTGGGTTGGCTTTGAAAAAGCACTCATTTTACATTTTAACTCATTTTATCTCTTACACACAAAATCCAATAGAAAAGAAAATATCATCCAAATAACTTTCTGAATTACATTTTAAATTTCAACTTGAAACACTTTTTGTTAGTGTAATGACCATTTTATAACTATAAATAGTCCAGTGACAAATTTGGCAGGATTTCGTTGTTCAGTGATTGTTTTTGGAAAAGTTCTTTTTTTTTCAGTGACTATAATTGACAGTATTTAATTGTTTAGTGATGACTCGTACTTGATATTTTCAAAATGTAGTTCAAAATATTTTTTTCAAACCAACATCCAAACAACTTTTTGCTCAAAATACCATCCAAACAACATTTTCATTTCCCATTTAATTTTTAACTTGAAACACTTTTCACTTTTATGTGGTAAAATAAAATGTAAAATAAAATGTAAGATCACGTACAATAAAAACCTTTAGGGGTGAGATATTTCTTGGAAGGATCCACAAAGACTGTCTGGCCTGTCCTCTATAGTAGTACTCCTTTGTGAATTTGTGGTGGTGCCCCTCCCATATAGTAAATTGGTATATTTTTCTGAATTGAAAAACAATTTTACAAATATAAATAAGTTGAGTTTTTTGGACAGTAGCAGAAAACTACGTATTCGCCAGGTGGCCGTTATACTTTGACTAAAATCCACTTGTCATTACCCCATTCGTTCAATCCAGTGACCCCACAGCTGTGCTCCCTTTTCCCTGCGCTATTTATATAAACCTCATTGTTCCTCAACTGGGGCACACTCCCCAAATTATATTTTTCGAAAAAATAACAATAAAGAAATCAGCAATTGCAAATATACATTACGGAAATCTCACAAACTTTTATCATCAGCGGACTCCAACAAACCCTAGATACCCCCCCTCCAGTTTCGTTATTACGATAGATCAGCTTGACGGGACTTTCTCTCACTACATTCATTGGGTTTGATTTTTTGATTTTTTTTTTCTCTTCTCAGCATTTTCGATTTTTCTCTCTCTCTCTCTCTCTGGGTCTTTGTTCTTCTTCAGTTTGTCATCTTGTGTTGTTGTTGAGTTGGTCAGAGTAAAAAAGCATTGGACTCTTCTTTGATTGCATGATCCTCACCGGAGATGGCGTCTGCATGTGTCAACAAGATTGGGATGTCGCCGGAGAATTTTCTTGACTGTCCTCCGACCGCCGCTGCGGCGGCTTCCAAGTATTCTTCTTTCGGGTGGTTGAGTAATCCCAGAATCTCATTCAGCCGTGAAATACCGGATGAGGAGCCGGCTCCGCCACCGCCCTCAAAACCTTCTCTTCTTCCTATTAGTCCTTCCACCGGGCTAGTAGCTAAGCAGCAACAGCAGAAGAAACCGGAGAAGAAGAACAAAAACAATGCGGCTAACTCGGAGAGTAAGAAGGAATTATCAGATCCGGGTTCACCCGGGAATGATTTCGTGGATTTCGAGTTCCGGCTTGAAGATCCGGTTAATATGCTCCCTGCCGACGAGCTTTTCTCCGACGGGAAGCTTGTACCAATGCAGCTCCCCTCCGCGATCCGCCATTCAACATCGTCATCTGACACTGTTGCAGCTTCTCTCGAAGTCCAGTCCCCGCCGGACACGCCGAAGTTCCGTCACCGAGGGGAGATCTCCAGCACCGATCCGTATTTATTCTCACCCAAGGCACCCAGATGTTCTAGCCGCTGGAAAGAGATTTTGGGGTTAAAAAAGCTCTACCAAAATAGTAACAAACAGCAGCAGCAGCAGCAAGAGGCTCACAAGACGACGTCGTCGACGTCAACTCACAGGTCGTCATTCAAGCATCTATTGCATAGGAATTCGAAGTCGTCGTCTTTGCTGTCGTCATCGTTGGATTCGTCGTCGTCTTTGAGCCTCCCGTTGCTCCGTGACGGCGGCGGAAGCGGCGGAGATAGCGAATCTGTTTCTATTTCATCATCGAGATTGTCCCTCTCGTCTTCCTCTTCTGGGCACGAACACGACGATCTCCCAAGACTCTCGCTGGACTCCGATAGGCCCGCTTCCGCGTCGTCATCACGCGCGTCACTTCACGTAAGTGGTGCCAACGTGAGCCTGCATCGATTGCGAGTGGCGAAATCCCGGGCACTGTCAGCTGAAAATGCAGCTCAGATGCGAATGGGGAGAAGCCCGATCCGGAAGCCGGTTCCGGAACCCAGTATCCGTGGAGTTTCGGTGGATAGTCCGAGAATGAATTCATCCGGGAAGATTGTGTTCCACAGCTTGGAGAGGAGTTCAAGTAGTCCAAGCAGCTTCAACGGCGGGCCCAGATATAAATACCGGGGAATGGAGCGGTCTTATTCCGCCAATGTACGGGTTACACCGGTTCTCAACGTACCCGTTTGTTCTTCCCTGAGAAGCTCGTCGAAATCCGGTGGCGGAGTATTCGGATTCCCCCTCTTTTCTTCCCCCTCGTCACAGCCTAGAAAAGAAAGCAACGGCGGCGGCGGTGGCGGAGGCGGAGTCAAGAGTCGGTCAGATCGGAATTAACCATTTCCCTTGACAAAATTAACTAGTACTTAATTTGGTAACCTTTTTGGTTTTTTTTTTCCAATGGCTTGTTAATTACTTAAATGTCGGTTTTACCCTTTTTTTAGCTCCACGAGTTCAGAAGGGCGGAGGAATGAAGTATGAATTTCATGACTTTTTTGTAATTTCGATGTGGAAGAGGCGATTAACGATTTAACATCGGTGTTGTTTTGTAAGTTCGGGAATTGGTTAAAGGTAGGCCAGAAATGTCAAAGAGATAATGTACATAGTGACCTTGGTTTTTGATCTTTAATTCTTCTTGTTTTTTTTCTCCTTTATTATGCTAAGATTATCATCAATCAAGTGTTTGGTGTAATATTAGTACAAAACATGTATCAACAAGACCTTGTTGAAAAAACCCAATTGGAAATGTGTACAATTTTTTTATAATATACCAAGTGTGGGGAAGTCGTTACCATTTCATTTCATATCCAGAGACAGTAAGTTGTAATGATGTTTAATAACTGAAACGGAAAGCCATGAAAGGGAATCTCTCAAGTCTCTCAAGTCACTTTTTGAAAAGGTTCCCTTTTAATCTCTTTTTCCCTTTTCAGATTTCATTTCCGCTCATCATTTGTTACACTGTTTTTGCTGTCCATGTGTGACCAACACGCGCCTCTGATGAACCGACCATGCCTCTGGTTTTTTACTCTCTTTTTTATTTTTTCGAAAAAATTGATTATTATTATTACTATTATTTTTTTTCTGGGGATATGATGATGATGACCATATTCGAATAACTCAAGTGGCTGGCAATATCATGCCAGCTTTGCTGATCAATTTTCTTTGCACGTCAGTCTGATCCCATTTTCCAGATTTCTTCCCCTTATTATATTATTGGGGGTTCTTTTTATTGTTACCACTCTGATCACTTCAAAATAAAAAAGGGTTAAACTCTAATGAATTTATGGTTTCTTGGTGGAGTTTTTGCTGTTCTGGGACATTTATGGTTTATTGTCTTCAATATATACCGTCAGCTTGGTATCATAATTCACTATATGTTTTGTTTTGCTTTCATTTAATGCTGTCATAACAATAATACAGATTGATAGAATAGGCTTCTTCTTTTTTTTAGCTAAAGTTAAAAAAAGAGTTGAGTTTTAATGCATCTTTCTCTGATATTTTTCAGATTTTTTTTTTTGACTGCATTTAAGAGTCAAAGAAAGAAATGATTGATGGATTTGCATTACTAGTACTACTCCTATTATTTATTTGTGCGGCTTTGATGTGGAGAATCAGTTCAATTTGATGTAAATGTAATGTAATGTTCATTTATTTTTTAAAACAGAACACAGAGAGTATGAATGATTACTCACTTTGATTGCCTTTGTAAACTTGATAGCATTTAAGTTGAATAAACACGATTATTACTAAGGCCGACCAAAAGTACACGATTATATGTGTGGCCTGGGGTTTTTTTGTTGTGAGGAACAAGTGTAGAACAAGGGAAGAAAGATACATCTCTATCATAAGAAGTGGGGTTTAGAATTGGGATAATGACTGCTAATACTACTAGTACTAGTAGAGTGAGATAACAAAGAGGAAGTCAGAAGTATTGTGATACAATATAGAGATACAAAGGACTTGTGAATTTGGTGGTGATAATGTGGACATCAACTCCTTCAATTGTCACTGTCCGCTAGGCTTTCCGCCCTTTGCCCCGCCCCGCATGCCAACCACTCTCTCGATGAACCATCCTTACTAGCGTGAATTGTCCATTCATTTTGTTTTTCTAATTGTCTTTTTCCTTATGATCATAGTTGCCCTAATTAAACACTCACATGATGATGCTCAATGTAGCTTTGAAATTGTTTAAAAACTATAGACATCTTAATTGACAATAAATGAAGTGACTCAAACATTTTACGTTTTAGCGTTTTTCATTGTAAATTTTCCTCCATGTTGCATAGAATCTCTAAAAGAAACAATGAGAATCAAAATATCGAGCAAATTTTCTAATCGTATCCTGTCATTTTACATTGGTTCAGAGAAAAAAAAAAGAAAAGAAAAAGATACTTCTCTATTTTAAAATTATTGTTCAATTTGAATTTTCAATTAAGTTTAATTTGTACTAAAACTAAAAATTTAAACTGAAAAATAAATAATTTCGAGCAGGAGAAAGTAACTTTTATGTACTCTTGCAGTGTTAGAAGATTTTTTTTTTTTTTTAATTTTAAATTTGTATAAATTTTACACGCTAAAAAACGATGTAAACGAGAACATTGAGTTGTATACTTCATTTCCTTTTCACTCTGTATCTACGCATATTAATAGTACAACACTAGAAACAAGAAAGTTTGGCGGTGTCAAGTGGCAATTGGCCAGTGTGTGAGGATCGGGTGACTAGCTAAAAATTTAGCAAAAGGATCTCTCTCATTGATTTGAGTGGAATCTAATCAGTAATCTCTGCTGTGATAGAGTATAGACAAAGGTGTCGGTGTCTCTTCCTCCACCACTCTCGGCCGCTTCCCTCCTCCCTCGGCAGGCGCCGATTCCCTCCTCCCTCCAACTTTGACTAGGGGGTCAGCTTTAATCTTTGAAGACTTCGAATATTGGGCGCGCCAACTAATTTGCTTAGCGTAACAATCCAAATTAATCCCCACTACTATTTTTACAACGTCGAATAATGAGCCCCCACCCACGTAAAAAAATGTAATCAAACAATGCCCCTTGGTTTTGTACTTTTTGGTTTATGGTCAAAATTATACTTATCTTCAACTTTCAAATTCATTTGCCTTCAACCGATGGTCATTGAAATGCTCATCTTCCATTTTTCCGGTTTTTTATTTAAAATGTAGTACTTTTATATATATATATATATGTTATATTTGTATGAAAATAAAAAATTCAACATGTTATCCGTAGGAAAGAATGAAGTCACTTGTAGAGAGAACACAACAACCCGTCAACAAGAAAAAAAAAAAAAAAGGCCATCTAAAATTCAGCCTGATTCGCTCTTTTCACTCAAATGGAATCATCTCATTTGCTCATGATTTGAATCATTGAAGTGATGGGGAAGTTGTTTCTTTGTTTGTTTGACCATAAGGGAAAAAAGAAGAAGAAGAAAAGAGGTCCTTCATCTTCTTCATATCTTGGGGGGACAGCTTCTACTCGTTTTTTTTTGGTTTTGTTTGTTTATCAATTAATTTAATTTTATATTTTTGTGGATTGCGTTCATCTCTTCGTTATCTCACTAGCTCTCTTCCTTGTTTCCCTCGGGGTTTTGTTTGTTGTGTTCTTTGGGGCTCTCCTCTTTTTATTGATTTTCTCCGATCCCATCTGTTGTCATGTGCTCGTTTGGTCATTTTCCATATAATCATTTTCTGTTTGTAAACGCTCTTATAGCTCTACCTAGCTAGCTAGCTAGCTAAAAAGGGGGCTACTCTTTCTAAATCTTGTTTTGTCATTTTATGTTCTTATTAAAGAAAAACCTTCGGAATCATCACTAAAAATGTTGGTAAAAGAAAGGAACATGATCATGTTGGTTGCATACTAAAGAGGTGCATGAAAGAACCAGATCCATGTTATACATTGGTTTGGTTAATCTTTTTGGTTTGGTTAAGTGCGCTGATTAGTTAGCCATGACATTTTATTATACGTGATTCGTTTTCATCATCATTTAATCTTCTTGATTTTGTTATCAATGTAGTTTATTCGTGATTATTTGGTTTTAACTCGAAACCTTTCATATAAGTACATAAAACTTGCAGTAGCTAATTTGCCATATTTTCCCCTATAATTAATACTCTCTCCGTCCCAAAATTATTGTCCAGTTTGGGTTTTCATTTTTAGTACAAATTAAACTAAAAATAAAAACTCAAAGTGGACAATAATTTTGGGACAGTGAGAGTAATAATCATTGTCTCTTGACTCTTGAATGTGAACATCGATCTACATAGTTTTGGATTACATTCCCATGCTGTTTTGTTCAATTGGAGATCAATCATTGTGAGTAATGAATTCGTACATACTAGATTTAACACACATTGATTGCGGTGCATTGCCTTATAAATTCCGAAACAGACAAAACATTAAACCAACAAAAACAAACAAAATGTTGGTAAATAAATCTCTCGTAATTTTTTTTTATGTTATTCTATTAGAGTTTTTTTAATCCTCCTCTCATTCTTTCTTACTACTTTTAATTTGTCCTCGAGAGCTGCCTTTGTTTGCATGGCATCAACGTGGGTGCTACTACTCACAATTGAATTAAGCATTAGCAAGCATCAAATATTCGTTGTGATTAATTTAATTAAAGAGGTTTTGTTGTATCCGTTAGCACATGGTTACTGTCTTAATAACGCTCCACACATACACACACATACTGTCAGTCTTTAAATTCAGCATTTCTGTAAACTCAATTTTTTTTTTTCTAATTTTATTCTGCTTCTACAGTGCTTGTCTCAATATTTGCGACTAACACTTTCTTTATCCATATAATTTAGCAATTGCTTTTTCCAATTAAAAGACAACAGTTTGAAAGGGAATAAGAAGTAGTAACATTAACCTACAATGATCTTTGAAAATGAAAACCAAAGAGAAAGGTAATTAATTTGAACATTAACAGACCTATAATCGTCCCGATCCAAAACCTGTATGTTGTACAATTATACTTTAACAATCAGATTTCTAATTTTAGGACAGATAGAATAATAAAATAGGGATATGATATAAGAAAAAGTGCTTATATTTGAACTACAGTCTCAGAACTATTTAATTTATTAAAAAAATTCATTTTTTAATCAAATATGTTTAAATGAAAAAGTAATTAATTAATAATTTTAAACATTAAATAGTGTTATCAATCAGGCGACTAAATAATTTCTCTTTCCCAATGAAAAAAGATGAAATGGTTGTATTAAAGGATTATGTGTTTCTGGGAAGGGCTGGCTGTGCACAAAAGAAAATAACGTGCTGGTTAAAATGTCGGTTCCAGCATTGCCCAGATTCTCACCTTCCAACAACCACAGGCCACAGCCAGTAAAGAATACAGCCCATTTATTCTGGATAAGTCTTTTTTTAAAGAAGTGAATAGTGAATTTGATCGGCTCGTTAATCTTTACATTAATAAATAGTTGGATCTTTATCATGACAAAAATTGGCTCTTTTCAAAGCCCTTATGACGTTAAACAAATCGAGTGACATCTAATTTCAAGTTAAGTCATACTCGAAACAGATGGTGTAGTTGTTTTTTTTTCTTCCGATATTCATTTAGCGTCTCTTTCATTAATCCTTTTTTTTTTTTCTTTACTCTAAATCATAGCAAGGACGGGTGAGTTAAATCGGAAAGATGGGACAAATAACATAAGGGCAAACTACATTTCTCCTCCCCCCCCTCCCCCCAAGTTTTGGCCCTCTAACAAAATACCCCCAAGTTTGGTCTCTAAATTAGGGGTGTTCATGGTTTAGCTCAAACCGGTGGAATCGTCCAATCCGGTCA